GTAGCTCACACCCATTTTACTAATCAGATCTATGACATGTGCTTCAGGCAGCGTCCAATTACTTTAGGAGTGACATTATGTACAAGCTGAAGCACAAGTTCATCCTTCAAATGAAATTCATCAAGAAAACCGCATGTCTCAGACAGCGACAGAAATGACACTATCCTGCCACATCACTTTTGAACCTAAAGAAGATACTTTATCCCTCAGTGCCTGTGTCCTTAGAACTGAGACTCAGTGTCCAAGATAAGGCGAGACTCAATCAGACATCACTCTTAGGGCACAGAGCTTTTGGAAGGTAAGGAACAGGTCTGGGGGGAAATCCTCCACAAGCAATGACTACTTAATATACATAGTGTTACTTATTTTTACACGGAATTTAAAATATAGCTGCCACATCAGGTGCACCATGGTCTAACCAGTGTTCCTTCCTCAGACTCTTGAGAACGCTAAACACTTTCCCGCTAGTCCCAACACCACTATCTTTACAGGTCATGGTCTCTACCTCCTTCTCACAGATGTGAGGTATGAAGTTATCTCAGGACCACAGCAGGAAACAAATCAGCACTCCTGAAATCTACAGAGACAGCTGCCCTCCACTGACTGGGAAGACTCCCAGAACAGAAAACCGGGCAATTCCAAACCAAGTCTAAAGATGGCCTGAACTTGGGAAATAATATGACAAACTATTCTGAAAGGTCAGAACTTCAAGTCCTGGTAAGCTTTGCTCAGACTGAAGTTAGTAACGCAGATACTAAACAGGAAATGCCTTTATGACTAGATAAGACACTTGAGTGTCTGTATGTGTACCCACATATATGTTTTTGAATCAATTTCTTCATCTGACCTGATCCTCTTATACCTTTATGTTCTGACACAAGATCTGAGTTTCTGAGACATGTCCAGCACTGTCAGGACCAAATCTCTGGCCAAGTCCGCAAATAAAGTCTTTAGTAAACTAATAATTAACTATAGTGCCTATGCTAGACGCAAACGCTTAAGTCTTCATGAATTAGCTGGATTAAAAAAATTATCTGGATTAAAGCGAGGCTTTGATATTGGGGGGGAGGGGGAAAATGACACCATGATCTTCAAAAGTGGTGTTTCAGTTTGTTAAATGAGGATTTCTCACCAGATCCCAGAAGATAAAGGAAGATCCAGGTAAAATATTCATGATAAGCCACCAGCAGAGTTTAGTCCCTCATGTTACCACATGCTTCAAAACCCCAAATGAACCAGAGCACATTCCCATGTCACACCTGTATAAGCCATGCAACGGAGAAGTGCAACATTCACGGCCACGAGAAGTGCAAAAATTCTGCCTCCAAGCAGAAATCCGGTTATGCAATAACTAAGTCGAGTCTCCACCTTAGTATCTGCAACTTTTGTTTTTGTTTTCAGAGGAAAAACAAATCAGAATTAAGGTCTACTTGTCTAGGTTTACTTTCATAAAAATAAAAAATCTGTTTATATCTTTAAAAAGATCTGTATCCTTAATAATATGGAGACTATAAAACTCACTCTCCGGCAGGCCCTGGGCCCTGCTGAGCAAAGGGTCTGTACACTGTGAATTCTGATTCCTGTGGCCCGATGTAGGCGCAGATTAAGCACAGGCGACCACCAGGGTGTACAGAAAGGCCCTGGGGGACATGTTCGACCATTTCCAGACAAGAGAATTAGGAGAATCCCTGGGTGTCAAAGAAACGGGGTGTCACAAGTACAGTAGAAAGCAGCACTTAGGAGCCCCAATAAATGATGGCCTTTTCTCAAGATCATGGTAGCAGAGGTACGATTCCCTGCACGTCTGTGCTGAGGAAACATTCATCCCTTCAGTTAGTCCTCACAACTCTGAGAGGCAGTCACTATTATCATTCCCCTTTTAGAGACAGGAAAACCGAGGCTCAGAGTAAGGGCTCGTATTGACAGACTCATGATGGAGCTAAAACAAACACCAAGAACACCCCACCAAAGCAGGGCCCCACTCAGTAGCACTCTGAGTGGGTGAAAACTTGAGGTAATTTTTAGGGGCTACTTGAGCTGAACCCCATGGCGGTGCTGGGGAGGGGGGTCGGGGCAGGGTTATGTGGTCCTGGGTAGAAACCCTGGGCCCTGCACATGCTAGGCACACACTCGACTATCTGCACTATCTCCCTGGCTCTGGCTATTATGGGTTTTGTTTTGTTTTTTTTGGGGGGGTCATGGGGCCACACCCAAAGGTGTTCAGGGCTTACTCCCGGCTCTGTCTGTGCTCAGGGATCACTCCTGGGGTGCTGGAGATAGAGCCTGGGTCAACTGCCTGGGAGTCCAGTGCCCTCCCTGCTGTGTTATCCTCATGATGGACTTTTAAAACGTAGCTTCCACAGCGCCCAAGATTTCCTGACTGCAAACAGGAATTACTGAATGCTGGCGAACAGGACGGATTCTGGAAGCCCGATAACGGCGGTGACGGGTGAAGCAGGAGTCAGAGGGCCCAGTCTGCGCCACCTCCGGGTCTCCCACAGTCCGGGGCCACGGGATGGAGAAGGGGGCGAGAGACATGCCAGCTACCCTGCGGGCTCTCCCCAGCTGTCGCCAAGCTTCTCCCCCATGAGCCAGACTCGCCTCGGAGGAAGGCCCTGCGGGGTGGAGAGGGACCGTGCGCGGTGCAGAGACGCAGCAAGTACCCCAGAACACCGAAGGCAAATACGACTGTGGGTCAACAAGGACTCTGCACCGTGCCCGTATCTGTTTTGAATCTAATCTGGAATTTGTCCTGGCAAGGCAATGTTCCGTCAAGGGGCAGCCGTGGAAGGTCAAGAGAGAAAGTGGACTCCAACGGGGAGGCCCCGAGAGCGGGAGGCCCACGGACAGGAGGCGGCCCACAGACCACCCCGGGGAAGGAGTCGGGCGCGGGGGCTCCTCCTCCCTCCTGCCCTCATCGCCACGTCCTCCGACCCCCCCTCTGCTGCAGAAACGCCGCCATGTGCAGCTAGCGTCCCCCAGCGCGGCTGGCCAGCACCGCCAGGAGCACATGCCCTGACAGACAGGGCCTGCCCCACAGACAAGAGGCTGCCAGGAGCGTGTCGGCGCCCGGGTCTCTGGACGCTGTTAAGCAGTTATCCTCCTTAGTCTTTATTTTTCCTCGAAGCAGCGAGTGGACGGTGTAATTATTCATGATTACCCTCGTTATTCCTGAGATCATGGTAATTCACTGGAATGCGGAGATTCAGCGAAGTAGTTAACTCAGTCTGCACAGGAGCCGCTTCCACCATCATTTGGTGAAAGGTAACAGCCCGGCAAATGAGGAGAAGAGCCTCACTATCAGTCAGCATCTTACTGGGAGGTAATAAGCCAGTGACAGACTCAGACACACGCAGCAGCATGAAGAAACGTCGAACTCATGTTCTTTCAAAACACCAAACCACTTCAGATTTGTATAACTCCACAATACAAGATAAAGCAATGTTAGTTAAAAAGTCACGAACAAAAATATTTAGTTCGCTTAAGGCTGAAAATTAGGTACAAAGTCACAGCGTCAACTTCTGTGGCCTGTCTTAAACTTGGCTGGTGCCTACAGGAGCCACGCGAGAGTGAACACGATCATCCGTAACACAGGACGCAGCACGGCCCTTTCGGGGAACCTCACCCTTCAATCAAAGCAAGAAGATTGGGGAAGGGGGGGGGAGGGTGGCACACGTGTAGGGGGGTTAGGGAGGGGGGTGTCCTTTTTGATTTAAACAAACTGTCGTCCCGTTGTTCATCGATTTGCTCGAGCGGGCCCAGTAACCTCTCCATTTTGAGACTTGTAACTGTGTTTGGCATATTGAATATGTCACAGGTAGCTTGCCAGGCTTTGCCATGCGGGCGAGACACTCTCGGTAGCTTGCCAGGCTCTCCGAGAGGGGCTGAGGAATCGAACCCGGCTCAGTCGGGCTGGCTGCGCTCAGGGCAAAATGCCCTACTGCTGTGCTATCGCTCCGTAAAGGTAGATCACACACAGATTTTGCTCCTTAATTTTAAAATGACACCAACCCCTTGCTGGGTGTTAAGTTCAGAAGTCTCTGGTCACGGCCAGTAAGTTGTGAGATTCTTAAACTGAACTCTACCCAGAAGACAACTACGAAAATAAGATCATTATGAATCATTTCAAATGAAACAGAGCTAGACCTGTCCTTCGTGTTAACTGATGTGCTCGAGAGGTCACAAAACATTTGGACACCTACCAAGAACCATTTGGCGGATTATTTGTGGAGCCATTAATGTAATTCCCAATCTACAAGCACTGACGACCACCTAGACATCTTTTCTCGATGACCTGCGACCGGTTTCGGCATAAACAGATCGGTCACCAAGTAAAATCCTGCTGATGGGAAGTCTGCTCTGGGCACGTTCAAGTTTTATGCTCCCCTGCCCCTGTCAAATTAGTCGTAATAACTTGCCATCAGCATATTTAAGACTGCGTATTTGTCATTTCCTTTCAGTAATGTCTCTAAAAAGGCACTGTATTTCTACAGCAATTTGAATTTCTACCTTCACGTTGCTTTTCTCCCATGAACAGAGCAAAGACGTGTTATTAGGGAACGGTGACTTGCCATGGAAATCGTTGTCTGGCATGCCTCAAAACTAACTATTAAAAGGCCGAGAATGTAATTTTGGGTGAAAACTCGTGCCATTTCTACAAAGACAAAGTTCAAAACGGTACACCTTCGTTTAACGTGCGTTTCTGAACTGCCTCAACTCTCCGAAGAGAACCATTCGATACCCGAGACCAAGTCAGCTGTCTCTGTTAAGAGCTCTCCGAATAGCATTATGCGGAAGTGACAGCCCGGTGAGGTTCTGTTTGTGAATGCAGCACACACTTGCTGGCCAACTGCAACGGGCTGTGAGCCCTTATCGCAAATAAAACTATTTTTGTGCTGTTTCTATTTTTCACTTCAACGTCACCCGCTCTTCCCGACGCGGGGCCTGTCAGGCATTCTGCCGCCCCGGCGCTGCCTGTCAGGAGGGTCAGCAGACAGTACCTTCCAGTTGGGTCCCAGAGGGCCTCTCTTGGTCTTGACTGACTGGAATAACGCCGGGTCTTCGTCGGCTTTGTAGTCCTGCAAAACAAAACAAAGTCAGGGGGAGGAAGAAAACCAGAGAAAAAAATCTCAGCCTTGCCACAACACAACAGCCCTCTCTGCACCTACTAGAACATGACAGAAACCAATCCCTGTCACCCACTTCCCGACAAGGCAGGAATACGCGTCGACTCTTGGATGCTTCCCCTTTGGTTCTCCATGTTTTAAATTCTATGTAATAAAAACTAATACAGATCTTAAGATCAGCAGTGTACCAATGAGAAAGCTAGCTAGCTCCAAGAACAAATCTTCCAACGTTTTTTCCAACAGTTCCAGTATTTTCACAGGGAAGTAAGGAACACTTTTGCCATGAAACTGGAATAACACCCAGCCAAGAGCAACTACTGTGAAAAGGACAGAGGAGAAAGGCCCACTTGGCAGCGTCCCTGGTCTCCTCACAAAGGCGGCTGGGTGTGTGCAGATGCCCCCCAGGGGGCCAGCCTTCCCGCACCCTTGCTGACACCAGGGCGGGACCTGGCCGTGTCAGTCCCTCCCTGTCACAGAGGGCAAGGAGGGGCTTGGGATTTTTTAATGGGAACACCAGTCAGTTCTATCATGCATCGGGGGGATGGCCTGAAAGCTTAGGCTGCATGCAACACTTTAACATGCATGTCTTCTGGTTTGCTAGCCCCTGCCTGTAAGAATAGAGAAAATGGAAGGAGGTAACCTTTTCAATCTGATCTGTTTTGCAATACATTTTTCTGTCACTATACGCATGAGCACATACAATCTAAAGACACAAATGAGGAGCCCAGAGAGGGCAAGAGCACAGCAGGCAAAGCACTTGCGTTGGTTGTGGCCAACCCAGGTTCGATCCCCACCCTGTATGGTCCCCTGAGCACTGCCAGGAGTAATCCCTGAGCCCAGAACCGAGAAGCTCCAAGCGAAGACAGGAACAGCCCCCAAATGAAAAGAATGTAAAAATGACTGGGGCCAGAGAGCCAGTGCAATGGGTTACGGTGCCAGCCTGGCACACAGCTGACTTGGGTTTGATCCCTGGAATCCCTTATGGCCTCAGAGCACCACCAGGAGTGACCCCTGAGCCAGGAGAAAGCCCTGCGCACTGTCAGGGGTGGCCCAGGCCCCAACTCTAAATGAAATTTAAAATAACTATTGAAAAGATGATGTCCAAGTTCAAATCAAAGAGCAGTAACAGGAACAGTGAAGAGAGATCAGCGGAAATACTGCAAAGGGAGAACGTTCCTTTCTGAATCAGCACAGAATTCCTTCCCACCATCTGTGGAGGTACCGTGTACTTCGGAGGAACCAGCCAAACTAGGCACTTATGAAAAATCATTTATTCTAGATAAAGGAGCAATGTAAACACTGAGTACACTGTCAACTACGACTAATTTTCATAAAGCAAAACAAACAAATTGAGACGCAGCTAATGAAGGCTTACCAGTTACCTAAGTAATGTATACAGAAATAACTCACGAAAAATTTAGGATACTATGTGAGACGGGCAAAAGCACTGAGGTATGGGTAGAAAAGAAAATTTGCCACTCGAAGAGTAAGCAGATAACTACAGGACCCAGGAAAACAGCCTGTCCAAAAACTATCTGGGTAGGAGCTATGAAGAAGTCCAATTCTGGGCTTGATTACACTAGCAGACCAGCCGTTCACACCAGATCTCCCTGTTTTAACTGTGTGACACAGAATGACAGTCTTAGTCAATAACACACAGGCAAAAGAAACGTGGATGAGCACTTGGATGAGCTCATGAGGGGCTGAAGGCCTGGACTCCACGCGCCTGGCCACACGAATAGTGCAATTATTGCCAACAGAGGAAATAAATCTTAACTCCAGTTTAGAGCCACCCTTGAACATTTACAAAAAAAAAAATCTATTGCTATGAAAGGAATCAACTGTTCCACGTGACGGGGACTCCCCATGAGCCAGAAAACATTCTGCTAACATGGGGGGGGGGGGGAACCATTTTCTTCTCTATCCCAGACTTACAATGAAAATCCAGAGGCCAAATTCAAAGTATTCAGTATTGCATAAACAACCACTTTTGGCACATTTCCTTCAACCAAGGTCTATTTCTTGAACAATTGCCACACAGAGCGAAGAGGGTCTCAGGAGGTGAGGTGAACATGGGCTTGGTCCTAGCTCCTATGGGTCACCATCTAACTGGGAGGAAGAAAGGAAGGCACACGTGCGTGCTCACACACACACAGACAAACAGACACACACGCATAGGTAGCTGAAACCTCAGGGGTATAGTTAGTTAGCTTCCAACAGAGTCTGGAAAGAAATGAATTCTGGTCAGAGCTAAAACCAACTGACACCGGCTGAAAGAAAATGCATTTTTAAATCGAGTTTTAAACCTGAGTCAAAATAAAAATCTTGTTAGGTATTACAAATATTTTTATGGTTGAATAGGAATTATCTGTATAATGTCTGGAGGTGTGGGCAGTGCGTGGAAGTTCTTCCATCTGAAAGAACCCCCTCACCTATTCCTCTCTCTTTGCTAACTGGGGAGTTAGTGGACCGCATGGAGCAAAACTCTCCAATGTTTTTGGATTCTCTGCTTGTATGTTTACTGAAACCTGTGATCTGTGAGCCTGGCTTGACTCGCACAATAAACAGCACTTTTCCTCAATCTCAGAGGCCATCAGAGGATGCACCACGATTTTATGTACCACTAAGAAGGAAAACACTCAGCCAGTAAAACAAGCCCTAACTGAAAAACAAATCCTGATTTTCGAATGCATAAAATATAAGGGGGAGAAAACGGAAGAAATCTGAGAATTGATGAAATACAGATTGTTCTGTCAATTTGTAAACTGCTTGCTTTAAGAGAGAAAAAAATCAAGAACTGAATTCAGGAGTGAAAATTCGCACAAACCGCAGTAGAGCTAGTGGAAAAAAAGATAATTAAAAAAAACCCCACTGATAGTCTATGTTAAGGTCAGCACATAAACCAAGAATTAACTTAAGAAAGAAAATGAGCTTGCAGGGCTGGAGTGGCTTCGACGCTTGCCTTGCACGCGGCCAAGCCAGGTTTTATCCCCAACATCCTACCTGTTCCCCCGAGCACCACCAGGAGTAATGCCTGAGAGCAGAGCCAGGTGTAATAACTTCTGAGCGTAGCCAGGTGTGAACCAAAACCAAAATACCAAAAAGGAAAAGAAAGAATGAAAAAGAGATGAGATGAAAAGAAGGGAAAGAGGAGGGGAGGGAGGGAGGGAGGAAAAAGGAAAGAAAAGAAAATGAGCTTGCCCTAAACAGGGGTCATGAGAATTCATCCTCACTTGCGGGTGAATGAGTCCAGGATGTGACTCACCTCTGATGACAGGGCGGAGCACGATTATGCATCAGTGACAGTAGAAACGTAAGCAGATGGATTGAACGTCTCTGTCAATACTTGTTCGTAACTCCACTCCCATACGAGCATGGAATCGGAGGGATTCTTACTGACCCTGTGAAATGATCAACTGACTACAGAGCCTAAGAGCTTTTCCTCTCTGGTCCTAATGACGACACTGTCCAAGAGTCTAGTCCAGTCTCCACTGCATTAGTGCCAACTGTTCACAGAGAGAACTTCCCCAATTCTGGAGCTCGAAGAATTACAGGTGTGAACAGAAACCTGACTCTATCACCTCGTTTTAGAGAGTGTTTAAAGACACGCTCAGGAAGGGGGTGTGGTGGCTCACACCCGCTGGGCTTCCCGGCAAGCCTTCCCAGCCTCTGAGGACTCAGGGCTCATTCCAGCGACTCCAGGCAGGAGGACACTCTGGCCAGTCAAGCCCATTTCAAAAACACCAAGAAGCACAGGCACACAGACACCAAAGTGAGCGATCCCGTCAGGCACTCGCGTGCGTCTGTAAAATCTCACGCGCACATACGCATATCTCCACAGCAAAGTCTTTCCTCTTTACCTCTCTTCTCTCGAGTCAAAAGTGGGAAACACTGAAGAAATACTGAAAATGTAATAAAGCCCAATTATTCACAATAGCACCTTAACCTTGACAGACGAGGAAAATACATCTTGTCAAAACCCAGGAATTTTGTGCATTTTTCAAAAGTGTTCGTTGAATACGTAAATGTTTAATCAGTTGAATTAAGCAGCCAGATATTAAGAAGCAGGTGTAACTTGTAACAGCCTCCGTTTTGTAACCCAGGAACAAACATTTAATACGATGAACAGTTATTTGCTACAATTCTATTACCGGGTATCTGGTCGGCATCTTTCTATATTTGAAAACTGGCCGTCTTATATCCATATCACAACGAACAAATATATTCCTTCATGTATGACAGTTCCAGCATACAGGATGCAACCTCAGCTACCAATTATAGCTGCAAATGAGCAATCGCGTGGAATGGGACAGCCTGCTGGCTTTGTTAGTATTCTGTCTCCTCTGGGCTCCCAGGGGGAAAGGGGAGGCTCTGATGAAGAGAAGCCCTTGGCTCATGGCGTATTGTGCTTGCCACCAGCTGCAGACTTCTCATCTCATTAGCTCTTTTAGAATACTGTGGGTGAAGACAGCTGTAGCCTACTTGAGTCTTCAGCTCCTGGGTATTCTGAAGGCTGAATTTGCTATGCACTTTCTGTAATCCTTGGGAAAAAAAAAAAAAGAGAAGCAAGCAGGCAAATTCACTAGGCCAAGAAAATGTGTTTTTGAAAAATGAGTTCTAAAATCGTATTTAAAAAGGAGGAAAATCTTATTGCTGAGGTGCACTGTGTTTGGAAATCTTTATGATCAAATTTTAATTATCTGCATCATGCCCAGAGGCCTCGCCAGGACCGGGGCGCAGGGAAGCCATCATTATCAAGTTAGGTGTGATGTCCCTGGGTACCGCCAGCTCCACCAACACTCTGCACGGGCCACGGGAAACACAATGGCATCAGCATAGAGCAGACGCAGATTAGTGTGCACGCGCCTCTATTTAATTGAAAACTCGCGTTTCAGCGCAAACGGGCAAGTCAAAGGCAGGACACCCTTTGGAGAACAAATAAGATATGGTAA